TCCCGCAATAATGTTCTCAGAAAATAAATCATCAAATTCATTAAGAAAATCGACAAAACTTTCCTTTTCTATTTCAGTTAAATGTTGAGAATTCATTTCATAGAGTTCTTTCAAGGGGATTGGAACTTTTTTAAAAGAATCTTCAATTCTAGCTATTTCTTTTTCAAACGTCGGAATTCCAAAAGCCGAATCAAAGATTTTTTCCAAATTTACCATTTTTAGAAAATCTATTCCCAAAAGACATTCATCATTTATGTCTGCAATAAACATTGGAATTTTTAACGAATATTTCCCTAATTCGACTTTAACTTCTGCCCAAAATTCTACACAAACTTTTTCTCCGGTGGGATATCTTAAATTAACAAAATTCTTAGAAATCTTCCTTTTCTCTTTTTCAACAAATTTGCTATTTATTATGGAAACATCGGAGCCCGTGTCAACCTTGAAAGAACATACTTTATCATCTATTTTTCCTTTAAAAATGAAATAATCATTATCCTTAATTCTATTTACATTTAATATAACTTCCGAGGAATTTTTCACGGAAGCCAAACTCTCCCCGGTAAGCTCGGCTAAACCAAGTTTCCCTTCTCAATAGGACATTCGTACCGGAAATGTCCGATTTTCCCACACGTCCAACATTCTCTTTGGCCGGCGCTAAATTTGCTGCCTGGCCAATTCCCTCTTCCGTTCTTTTCTTTCTTATCTTTTTCATCCCGTTCGCCTTCTAATTTATTACCCTGCGCGTTCTTTTTTTCAATACTCGAAAAATTTTTATTAAAATTAAAATTTCCTCTCTTTCTTTCGTAACCCTGCCCTTGAATTATTTTTATGGCTTTTGCCCTTTCAATTGCCAAACTCAATGAGGTTATATTTTCTAATTGTAAAGTTCGTTTGACAAAATTATCATATATCGCTGAAATGAATTGCGCGCAGGCGATTTTATCTCGGATTTCGTGTGGGCACTCGGGATACGCAAGGCGAACCAATCTTTCAAGTTCCGAACCTAATGTTGCCAAATCTTCCCCAAACTTTTGTTTCCGATTTGTAAATTGAACGTAATAATTTTGTGATAAGAGTCCTTCTCCAAAACGCAATTCAAGTTTTGATTTTAATTCGTTGAATTCTAAATTGGACACGTCTTCTACCGTCTCTAATACTGAACGCGCTTTTCCCCTCAAACTCGAAGCGAGTGCAACAGTCTTTGTCGTATCATCCCAACTATTCGCTTGAGCAATTAAGTTAAACTGCGAGAAAAATTCACGAAGTGATACTGTCCCGTCATAAGTATCAGGTTTTAATTTGTACCCTAATATCGCGCGAAAATCGTTCTCCCTCTCATTTAAAAAATGCGTACCCGAATTTCCACACGTTCTATTATTAGAAGGACTTAGCTGTAGATTTTGTGGCCGGGAATGAATCTCCTTCAAGGCTAGAAGTTCCTCGTCGTGACGACGCAGCATCGCCGCAATTTCGTCCTCTCGACGAGTCTGTTCCTGTCGCATCTCTCGCATTTCAAGAAGGAGAACCCGAAGAGCTGTAGATTCTGTTACCGCCGGTTCTCCTGCGACTTCCGGTAACGAGCCCGTTTGCTCTCCTGATTCCTCGCTGCCAGTCGTTCGAGACGGAGCTTGTGAACGGGTAATTCTCGGGGAATGTATCATTCTCGACGTTTCCGTTCCGCTGCGGTGAGATATTCCTTCGATCCGATCCCGGACGAGCCCCCAAAATGTTACGTCCTCCGGACGTTCTTTCTCGCAAAAGACGTCTCTCGCACACACTCTCACTCACTCGCGGCTCGCGAAATAAATACACTCTCTTATGAAGAAATGATCCTTTATACAATGATGAAATACAATGACTAATGTACACGCGAAAGAAAGAAGATTGCTCTCTGGTCAAGTCACGTCCGTACGAGATGACAGCTAGACCAAAACTGTCATGGAGCCTGAAAACAACCACCGGGCGGTTGTCAATAAACAACCCCCCTTAACGATGAAGCTCCACGACACAAGGGATGATATTCAGGGGATGAAAGATCAGGGACGTAACAATATAATATATATATACATAAAGACTTTAAATGACCTTGAAAATCGCTCTTTAGCAAACAATTTATTAGCGTCATCTTCTTTTTGCCTGAAATCCTATTTTTCTTTCCGCTTTTCTTCTTCCTAATTTTCCTCTATTAGACTTAGACTTAGGTTTATTCCGGACTCCCCTTGAGGTTGCCGGGGCGTTTTCAGAGGACGCCAACCCCTTACAGTCTCCTTTCTTCTCTCCTCTACCATAATATACAATATATTACATAGATAGATAGATAAACTTTATTGATTCCCCGTAGGGTTACAATTTAAAAAACAAACACAACATAAAACAAAAAAAACAAAAAACGCTTATATTATCTTCTTAATCTAACTTAACCTACTTAACCTAAACGCTTCTAAGGGGTTGAGCTTCTACTTCGGGTCGCCCTTATGGCCTTCTCCCCTTAGCTTCCGCTCAACCCCCCAGTACACACACACACATCTCGCCGCGCGGGACTTCCGTTTCCTATTGCTTTCTACTCTTTACATTTTTTCTCCCTTTCTTATTCTCTCATTCCATTCCCCCTATTCTTTTCTCCTTCCCTCTCTCTCTCTTCCTCAATCCCTATCATCCATCCTTCTCCCTCTCCTCCCTCTCCTAAAATTTCTTTGACTACCTCCTGCCAGCTCCTCTCCCTTTCTCTACTTATTCTGCATCTTTCCCATGTATGCTCCCATGATTCCTCCTCTCCCCCACATAACCTGCATTTTCTCTCTTTCCTCCTCCTCCCAGTACCTACTTTCTAACATCTCATTTCTTAACCTAAACCTCGCCACCCTCCTCCACCTACTCTCCCCCCAACCTTTTTTCAATATTCCGGAATTCCTACTACTCTAATCTCCTTATACCATTTATTATATTCCGACTTTTCCATTCTTTCTTCCCTTCCTTTCCTCTGTTCCTCCCAATGCTTCTTCAACAATTCTCCGAACCATCCCTCTTCCTCCTCTCTCCTCTTTTCTACCTCTTCTATCTTCTTCTCCTCTTTTCCTAAAGTATTCTTTCCCTTTCCTTTTCCCATTCTGAGCCCACCTTCCCTTCCTTCGCCCTTTCTCTCATTTCTTCCCAGCATTCTCTTGCCAGCTCACTTCCTCTTCCTTTCTCCATTCTTTTCTCAAAGCTCCATGCTCTCTTCCCCGCTCTTGTTCTCAGCTTTTCTCTTTTCAGTTCCTCTCTCACCATGTATCCTGGCGTCCTCCTATCCACCCCTAGTGTCCATCTCAGGTACCTTTCCTCTAATCTTTCCATCCCCTCTCTCTCCTTCTACCCCCATATTTCCACCCCATAGCTCATCACTGTCCACACCAGTTTATCGAACAACCACATCCTTCTTCCCCAGTCCTTTCCGAATCTTCTTTTCTCTATCTCCCACACCTGTCCCATAATCGACGCCGCTTTCCTCAACCTTTTCCTCACCTGTCCTTCTTGTCCTCCGTTCCTTTGTAGTCTATACCCCAAATACGTGAATTCCTTCACTTCCTCCATTCTCTCCCCTTTCCATCTCCACTCCCTTTTTTTCCACCTCCCTCTTTTTTCTCCTAAATCTCATCTCTTTCGATTTCTTCGCATTTAGTTCCAACCTTTTTTGATCTAAATATTCTTCCAGTCTCTCTAACATGCTCCTTAGTTCCTCCTCCTCCTCTACCAGCAACACCATATCGTCTGCGTATGCCAGTGTGTAAATTCTTCTCTCCCCTAATCTCATTTCTCCCCTTTTCACCTTCCCCATCTTTTCCTCTAAGTCCGCTATCAAGATATTGAATAGCAGCGGACTCAGAGGACATCCCTGTCTTACCCCTTTCTCTATCCAAAACTTCTCTCCTATTTCTTCTCCTATCTTTATTCTGCATACCGTTTCCCTCATCACTTCCTCTACCCTTTTTCTCAATCCCTTCCTTATTCCGCTCTCCTCCATCGCCTCCATTACTTTCTCCCTGTCCACCGAGTCAAACGCTGCCTTCAAATCTACGAATAATGCTGTCATCCTTCCCCCTTTCTTTTCTAGTTGTCTATTAATCAAATAGTTCATCACATAGATGTTGTCCATCGTCCCCATTCCTCTCCTAAATCCCATCTGGTTTTCTTTTATAATCCTTTTCTCCTCCACCTCTTTCCTCAATCTTTCTGTTAATATCATTGTATATACCTTATACAGTGTCGGCATCAGCGTTATTCCCCTATAATCCTCAACCACCTTTCCCTCTCCTTTCTTTCTTTATCGGGACTATCACCCCTCCTTCCATCTCTCCGGCCATCTTCCCCTTTCCATACTCTGTTACAAAAATCCAGTGCCCAATTTTCTATATTCCTTCCTCCATATTTCCATACCTCATTTTGTTGAGATATACGCGTGATCCGGCACTGGCGACGTCGAAATCTTGAGATTGTTAGGAAAGTAATTAGAGGAGAACTTGTCGTGGATATCGATTTATTCTTTACGAACGCTGAGAGACGACTGACCCGTCCGCAGACGGCAAGCCGTGAATTTTGACAAACAAGTATGAAGAGGGGGTTGACAAACAGTTTTGATAGATTTATAATATCTCATGTACAGATAAAGAGAGAGTGTACACAGAAATGTAGAGGACACATGACTCCTTTGTATTACGAACGCGAAGTCGGCGCGAAAACAACAAAAAGGTGCGCAAATAAGAACGCGGAGGACAGTATCCATAGAATTTAACTCGATAACATTTACAGACAATATTTGCTTGACGTTCGAATTTACCGTTCGTGACTTTACTAAATTTTAGAAGCAAATATTACTAAACATGACGATACAACGTGATCTTAAAATGGATATAATTTTATTACATTATTGTGTCGAAACATTCCGCCCGCCTTGTCTACTCGTAGTAGACAAAGTATCGAATTAAGATATACGAGCGGTTAGCGCAGAGTATTTGTCTAGTCTATTGATTTTCGATCGGCAGCAAACACAATTTCACTATAGGTCTCTTAAAACTTGAGGTAGCTGTTTTCACTGTGGCGACTCGAATAAGTCCGTCGACTCCAGGGTGCACGTCAGTAATGCGTGCGAGAGGCCACTTAGTTGGAGGAAATCGTTCGTCCTTGATTAGAACGAGAGCGCCTTTTCGAAAGGCATCTTGAGGTCGATATTGTTTCGAGGTAGTCTGTAGCTGCTGTAAATATTCTGACGACCATCGTTGCCAGAATGATTCCTTCATGCATTGCAATAGTTGCCAACGTGACAACCGGTTTTGAGGTACCTCTTGAAGCGAAGGTTCCGGCACGGTAGCGAGAGTGGACCCGACGAGAAAGTGCCCAGGCGTGAGAGCGGTAGGGTCCGACGGATCATCTGAGAGTGCAGTGAGCGGGCGAAAGTTCAGAATCGCCTCGATTTGCACTAAGAGCGTTGTCAGTTCTTCATAGGTGAGGCGAGCGTCGCCGAGAACTCGCCGCAAGTGAAATTTGACGGATTTCACCCCAGCTTCCCATTTTCCTCCAAAATGGGGGGCGGAGGGTGGATTAAAACTCCACTTCACTCCGTCATTTGCGAGAATGTTAGCGATGTGAGCCCACTCGCGAGAAGATGCCGTGAACATCCGTTTGAGTTCTGCGTCGGCACCGATCAAATTCGTGCCACAATCACTAGTCAGAGTAGAGCATATGCCTCGCCGTCCGGTAAATCGCCTGAACGCCGCTAGAAAGCCGTCCGTAGAATAGTCAGTCGCGACTTCCAGATGTATCGCAGACGTACTGAAACAAACGAAAATGATGAAATATCCCTTGTACGTTCTGCAGCCTCGTCCGCGAAAAGTTTTGAGAGTCAGTGGCCCGGCATAATCGACTCCAGAGTTGAAGAACGGTCGGCGCGGAACGACTCGTGATGCTGGAAGCTGTCCTACAGCTTGGTGACCAGTAGTAGCACGATGACGAGCACAAATCACGCACTTGTGGATGAATGCTCTGATAGGAACGCGACCGCCGATAATCCAAAACCTTTGACGAATCGATAATAACGTTAACTGCGGTCCGCCGTGGAGAGTCTTTCAATGATGATAATCCATCACGAGAATGGATAAGCGACATTTTCGAGGTAAGATCAGAGGATGTTTTTCTTCTGGATCTAGTTGTGACCGGAATAAACGTCCGCGTAAACGCAAAAGTCCTTCGCTGTCGAGGAATGGCGTTAGACGATAGAGAGAGCTCGAGGTTGAGAGTGATCGTTGGCTCTTCAAGGTTTTGATTTCGGATGAGAAGTACATTTGCTGCGTGAGTTTAACCCACAGCATTAGCGCTGATTCTAACTCTTCGACGGTGAGAGGCTCGTGAGATGAGCGTGATGCGACAGATTTCCGAAAGAGTTGAAGAGCACGCTTGACCCAGGCGGTAGTTCTGATGAGGGTCGTCAGCGATGAGTATCGATCGAGCATCGAAAGTTTATGTTCATGATTTTCCAATGCAGTTGTACACTGCGGAGGCCGTTCTTCAAGGTTGTCCGTAGACTCGAGAATCGGAATTGAAGACGGCCAAGATGTCGAATGCGTATGTAACCAATGAGGACCGGTCCACCAGAGTTCGTTTTGTTGAAGACGTTGAGGAGTCACGCCTTGTGATGCTAGATCAGCGGGATTCTCCTTCCCGGAGACGTGATGCCATCTAGAGTTTGAGAGCTCTTGAATAAAGGAGACACGATTCCGTACGAAGTCTTTCCACCGGGATGGATGACTTTTGATCCACGTAAGAGCGACCGTCGAATCGGTCCAGAGATGGGTTGGCGCGGTTTGTAGTTCAAGCACTTCGCGAATTTTGAGAACTTGACGCACGAGCAGCACTGCGGCTGAGAGTTCGAGACGCGGTATAGTCATTCGTTTGAGAGGGGCAACTTTAGTCTTTGAGCAAATGAGTTTTATTTGAGCGTCGTCGATGTCACTGAGAACGCGGAGATAAACGACCGCGGCGAGTGCACTTTGAGATGCGTCCGCGAAACCGTGCACTTCCACGGCGAGATTCGAAGCACTTGTTCCAAACCAACGCGAGATAGCGAGACGAGAGATGCATGTGAGTTGAGCGACGTAGCTTGTCCATCGTGACTTTAAATCTTCCGGGAGTTCGTCGTCCCAGTCGAGACGTATGGCCCACAGTTCTTGCATGAACAGCTTTGCGGTAACTGTGATAGGCGTAATCCATCCGAGTGGATCAAACATGCGTGCGATAAGCGATAGCACTGAGCGTTTTGTAACGCGATTTTTCGAGATCGTGAGCGACGGCGGAGAAAACACGAAACTGTCTGATTGGCGTTCCCAACGCACACCGAGAGTATGATGTATCGCACTGTCGTTGACCGAGAGCGTAGGAGATGTTTCGCGATCGCAGGCAGGGATATCGTCGAGCAGATTTGAGTCGTTAGCGATCCATTTTCGGAGCGTAAAGCCGCCCGCCGTGAGAGTGGTTCTTAGTTGCGAGATTTTTCTTTCGCCTGAGAGATGCTTTCGTCGCCGGAGAGAATATCATCGACGTATGTGTCGCGACGAAGAGTTTCGGAAGCGTGAGGGCGAGTCGAATCGTAATCGAGAGCGAGTTGCCGTAAACAGCGTAGCGCGAGATATGGAGCACACGCGAGGCCGTACGTTACGGTACACAATGCATATTCTTGAGGCCTTTCGTCGAGAGAGTCCCGCCAAAGAATTTTCTGTAACGGCCAATCATCCTCGTCCACGCGAATCTGCCGATACATTTTCTCGATATCGGCCGCGAACACGTATCGATGCCGTCGCCAACGGATGAGGATGTCCGCGAGATCCGTTTGTAGTTTCGGCCCAACAAGGAGACACTCATTTAACGACAAGCCGAGATTTGTTTTTGCGATCCGTTAAACACGACGCGCAGTTTTGTTGTCGTGCTAGTTTCACGCGTAACACCGTGATGCGGTAGAAAAAACTCGCGAGATTGAGCGCGGTTTGATGCGACGGGACGCATGTGATCGAGAGAACGATACTCACGTAAAAAGTCGATATACTGGATTTTGAGCGATGGATTCGATTCGAATCGTTTTTCTATGCGATACTGCGACCGACCACTGGTCGCGATCCGCAGAGGTCCGCTACAGTCGAAACAGGCAAAGACACTATTCCAGATGATCCGGAAGGTGAGTCGACAGCGATCGCAAGTGATCTAAATACCCAGAACTGATACATACCAGGTGAGCGACTGATGAGCATCTCAGCGTATTCAGCAAGGTGACCCATGGTCAACAAGGTCCCCAGAGAGATCCCAGCACATCCGGGACGTTAGTCGTCTAAAAGATGTAAATATGTATATACTATAATTATAGTCGTAAATTTAAGTTAAGCGATCGCGTCCATGCGTTTTCTTTTATTTTATTTACAAAGCATTTGGAAGAGTGTTTGCAACGAATTCACACTTGCAGTAAGACGGTAAGTCAAGAATTGCGTTAATTAAATCTCCAACGCAAATATCCAAATAAGGCGTAATCGCAAGATGCGATAGAAGTGCGCTGGAACCATGATCACTAGTCCAGATCGTTAAGTAATCAGATACAGGTGTGAACCCGGAGCAAACGACTCCCCAAAGCCATGTTCAGTTTTTACTAATTTTTAGTTACCGAAAAGTCAGGTGATGACTTTGGACGCCTAATTATAAGTCGTAATATAAAAACACAAAAACAGCAAATAAAAACTAAACCTTAAATTGTCTCAGCGGACATCCGAGAGATCAAAGGTCGAGATAGGGTTCCCGATGACCTGGAACCCCATAACCTATAAAAACTTGAATCTTTGTTCAAAAGTAAAGGACCTAGGGATGGAACAGCATCCCAAGTCAATTTGGGACATACGCCCAAAAGAACAAGATGAGATGATAAGATACACATGATCTATATCGGATGCACGCCGAGCCAAACACAAAAAAATAAATATACTAAAATATATCAGCTAACATAATATATATTCTCTTAGTTAAATTAAGTATATAACCGATAGGCTAATATTAAGGTCGAATAAACGAGACTCCCGAATGTTGAGACATTACCGTTACGTTTGTTTACCTGTAAAAAGTTATTTACGTTTATTGGCATTTTTAGTTAAACATTCGAGACATTCGTTTATTCCTAAACAAACTTGTGGTGGCAATATTTTAATAATAATTTATTTTAGTTGTTTACGGAACACCCACAAGAATAACGTACGTCATTATTTATTTTATAAATTATTTAGCATGTTTATGCGATAGTGAACCGATCCCGAACATCAGGACACGATAAAAGAGCGATAACCAAAATTGGTTAAATAGGAACTCTTGTCGAACGCACCTTACACCGATAAAATACGAAATAGGAACTCTCGCTGAACACGCGCTACACTGCCGCGCAGCGATTCGCGCTGAGCCCAGCAGTGGGGCGCCGCTCCGCGATTGGCCGGCGGGCCAAGGTAGGGCAAGCGGGAGGCGCACTATAAAAGTCGGGAGCGAACATCACTCGACACAGTCGGCACGGTACGGACTCGATCGCACAGTCAGACGTAGTCTGCACGGTTCGAAGACAGTCGTACTTACGGAAGCGTAGACTTTGTTTTACGCGTATCGTGATTCGGGATAACGCGAGTGGCAGTCGTGTGAATACCGTTATTAGGCGAGTAGCATCTTTGCGTGCGAAAGTTGTGCGACTTGTCCGGGACAATACCGTCTCGTTAATTTCGTTCGATCAGTGTATTCGCGTGCAACTGCTAGACGAGCCACGGCGAATCTAGTCCGCGATAAAGTCACAATCGTTACGAGACCGTTCAACGAATGCGCAAACTAATAGGCGGCATAACGCTTGTCGCAAGCGAACTGATCGCGAGTGTTTGTGAACGGTAAAATTTACCGTCGTGCGGAAATCAAGCGAGTGTAATCCGTAGCCATTGTACAGAGTTCAAGCGTAGGACGCTATTGAATAAACGTTCGTAGTGAAACCTGAAAAAACGTGATCTGTTACTTACCTACGTATCCGCATCCCACGTCGTATCTCCTTCGGGTGTGAATCCGTTCCTAGGGCGTAGAAATAGTCCGTCGGTATCCTGAAATCAAAGGAGTGAAAGCAATTAGTCAAGTTCCTGCGAATTTTCATTGTTCGCACTCTCCTGACGCAACATCGACCTGCGTCGCAGCAGCGGCCATCTTCAAAGGACGGCGCGGCATACATCAAGGACGGCTCGAGCCTGGCGGCATCACCGAGCGTACCTACATCAAAGGGACACTTTGGCTACTTCCACCTTCTTACTTGTTGAGGTTAAAGTAAGTGGCGACCATCAAAGGTGAAAGCGGGACGTCTGTTGGCTGGTAAGTCGGAAGGAGGGCCTCTTCTCTCACAACGTTCGGTCACAGTGAAATAGCGCTCGTCGCAACGTCGCCGTTAGTATTGCCTGATCATTAGCCCGTGGTTTTCGGTACTTCGAAATCCATAAACCCCACGTGGCGACCGTGACAGCCGTCAAACGGATTTTGACGGTCCTTTTGGATAGAATCTGCAATCTTCGGATACGAGCCACGAGGGTCCATAAACCCCACGTGGCGACCGTGACAGCCGTCAAACGGATTTTGACGGTCCTTTTGGATAGAATCTGCAATCTTCGGATACGAGCCACGAGGGTCCATAAACCCCACGTGGCGACCGTGACAGCCGTCAAACGGATTTTGACGGTCCTTTTGGATAGAATCTGTAATCTTCGGATACGAGCCACGAGGGTCCATAAACCCCACGTGGTGACCGTGACAGCCGTCAAACGTATTTTGACAGTCCTTTTGGATAGAATATGCAATCTGCGGATAAAATCCCCGCACGATGACTGTGACAGCCATCGAAAATAAATCCGAAACGTTCCGATAAGATTGAAATAAAGTCACGTACGGTTACCAAATACATCAAAGGTAAACCGAGCGCATAACACGTCAATAGGATAGGGCTTGCAAACACGAGTCAAATTAAAATCTATTCGCGAAAATAAAAACTAAAGTTACGCAAAGAACGTGAAAATTATGTAGCGTCAGTAACATACCGCGACAATAAATATTTGATCGAAAAATCATTAAACTATTAACGCGTATAATTCTTATCATAAGTATCTCGCATTTTCAAATTAGATTAAATTCGAAATGAAAATATATTTGATCGAAAAATCACTAAACTATTATCGCGTATAATTCTTTAACAAAAGTATCGCGAATTTTCAAAGTAGATTAAATTCGAAACGAAAATATGTTTGATCGAAAAATCATTAAACTATTATCGCGTATAATTCTTTAACAAAAGTATCGCGAATTTTCAAAGTAGATTAAATTCGAAACGAAAATATGTTTGATCGAAAAATCATAAAACTATTTAAATTGTTTTTCGTATAGATTAAATTCGAAACGAACAAACAAAGAGTTAGTCACCCTTGCCTGAAACGGTGGTGCATCGAATACAAATCGTTTCGTGCGAAGATAAATATCCGGAACGATCGCGAACAGACAAATTCGCATCCGACGGCAAACGTTCGTGAAAGTTAAGTCCGAAACGAACCAAAATTAATAAACCGCCGTCAATTTAATGATTCATAAAGTTTTCTCGTGAATTATAAGACGCGTATCGATCATATCAAATTCGTTAAAATAACTATCGGTTACATCTCTGCAAAGACGTGAAGATATGTAGCGACTGGGACAAACCGTAGTGAAATAAAACGGATAAATAACCAACAAGTTTGCATGGAATGTAAATGCACAATTAATACACTCGCCAATAAAAGAAGACGAAACAAAGCGTGACGTCTGGCACGAAGTGTAGTGCATACAAGAAAATCCCGATTTTCCTTGTATTTTTCCTAATTAACGCAAATAAATAAACGTTGGTTGGCTAATAAAAGAAAGCAAGATATTGCTTAGCCGCTTCATGTTAATTAATTGTGATTTTAGTTAATTTCAGTTAATTACGAAGGAAATTATAAAATTTTCCAAAAAATCGATCGATTAGAACCGCGCACCAAAAAGAAAACCGCGCATCAAAGAAGAACCGCGCATCAAAGATAAACCGCGCAACAAAGGGAAACCGCGCAACAAACGGAAGCCGCGCATCAAAGGCGAAGCCGCGAGTCTACTCGTGTTACGCCGACGAGAAACGCGTACCGCGCAGCGACCGAAAGGTCAAACGGCCACCGTGAACACCTGCGTC